GTTGCGATCAATATCTGAAATTACCTTATAAAATCGTGCATAGAGTTCATGCTACACGTTTTTCATGCATTATTATTATAGACACAAATGCAATAAAGTAATGAGAGAAAAATGAGAGGCAATCCATTTACAGAATGAGTGACAAGGAGTAAAAAAAATGACCAACGAAGAATGCTAATGGATCAACTGTGGTTTTATCGCGTTTCGGTTTGATTCAGCTGTAACATAATACCTAAATGTTTATGTGTTGTTATCGTTTTATGTCCAGTGCGGTTTTTTTCTTCTGCAGAAAGCTACTGTTGATGTTGTTGCATGTCATATTCAAATTGTGGGTTTTTTTAGTGTCGGTTGGCACGGGCAAGCAGTAAATAATTTCCATGTACTATGCGTTTATTTTAACTTTTATGAAATGCATTTCATTAATTTGTTTTGAGATAAAACTGGAAAAAAAAATATCCCGCGTACGAAAGGCAGTTTGCATTGAAATGAATTTATTTGTGTCCAGTAATGCACACCGAGATCATTTATCTGCCAGATTGAAATAAATGACGTATTTCTTTAAAAATATTGTAAATTTATGATATTTTTGGCGTTTATATTTCCATGCAAATAAATAAAGTATCTTCACTACCACCAAATTACGTTCAGATGCCACCAGTTTTCGGATCAGTAATTGTTTAGCTAACCCATTATATTAGTTTGACAAACTTACCGTGGACACAATGATGGTGCTGCTATATTAAAAAATATATAACAATTGCTGGACGAAAAAATGTCGTTTTACCTTTTAATAAATTTATGATATTTTTGGCGTTGATTTTTATGTTGATTGTGTTAGATTTTATGGAAAGATATAAAAGTGCACACTTTTGTTGTTATTGCTTTAATTTTTTTTGCTAGAGAGAGAGAGAGAGAGAGAGAGAGAAAGAGAGAGAGAGAGAGAGAGAGAGAGAGAGAGAGAGAATGTGTGCGATCCAACGGTGATAAATGAATGCAAACGCGATTCAGCGACACAATGAAATTTAGCGAAATGGTAGAACAATAGAATATTTTTTGTACGTAAAATCTTTTGATTCGAAAGCAATGACCGGATTTGGTTTTCGTTTTTTCCTCACGGTGTATGTTGCATCCAAGATCATTTCACACCTTTTGGAATAGCAGAAATTTATCATTCGGACAACAAAAATGCATTTTTTTATCCGCCAAACATTATAGCGTTGTCCATTCTGAATGGTCATTCTTTCGCTTCTTCATTCATTTTTTTTAAGCATCAGCATAGAAGATGAACCAATCTGACTATACTTCAAAGATTGCAAAATGTTCACATTACAGCGATGATAAACACACTAGGAATGGTGCCAGTTTACTTATTTGATGTATGCGATCACATCCCGTTCTGATGCACCAGTCGTTTTATCTAGTTTATGGCGCTGCATGAGAAACACACGAACACAAAGCAAACACACAAAGAGAAAGAGAGGAAAACGAAGAAAAAAGAACATATCTGGCCGATGAAGACTGGTATGTTTTTCTTCTCTTTTGTGAAAATATAGCGTTTTTCATACCGTTTTAATAAATCATTTCTTCCCGAATCGCATCGCACACATAATTTCACATGAACGTACCTGCTGGATTTATGAGATGTGCGATATTTCAAAAGCAATGAGACGAAGCTGCACATGCACCGATTAAGGTGCACCGGTGGTGCTTCTGCTGAATCTAAATATTATTGTCTCACCCAGTCCTACCATTGTAAGCAAAAGCGAATATCAACACATGATATACACAAGTGCACATACTACAAACACCTAGATATACTATGGGCCAAGCTGTCTTTTATCTTCCGTCATAAGTCTATTTTGTGATGTGGTGTCCACCAAATATTTGCGATGAACACCACTGAAAATAAATTTGAGGAATATTTCGGTTGCTGTGACATATCATGAATTTAAAAAAAAAGACAAATGCTTTAAATGGATGCAATGTGTGTGTGTGTGCATATGATAGTCGTCGTACGACACTGATATGATGAGCAAATAAACGAAATGGCGTTCATCAAGCGCATCTGTTCGATGTGACAACAATTCAAATATAGTAGACCGATAGAGAGACAGACTGGGCTGCTGGTTGTGGCCATTCCAATTTCAATGTTGTGTCGCTCTTGGCATTTTATTTTTTTATCTCTGTAGTAATTTAAACCGTTCATTCCTTCTTCTCTGTTCCGTTTTTCTGTTGCGAGTCTAACTGAGTTTTTATCAGCAACCATTGGTGGCCAATTTTGATATCGTAGTTTATGGATTGAATGGTTTTATGGATTCGTCGTTTGAATGGCAAAATGATGGCGATAGTGCGTTTCGGTTACAGTGATTACACCAGGATAATTATAAATATCAATGTCAAGGGGTGTCTATATATGTGAACATTTTATGGACTGTATTGCCGCCAAAGTCCAGTGCTCCCGTGTGGCGATAGAGAGATGAGCAGACAATTGCAAATGAACCAAACATGCATCGACATAAATATGATTTATCGGAGATGATGTGCGCACCAACACTCTAATTTGAGAACATTCATTTTATCATGGAGCAATATGAAATCCATTCGATGCTTTTTAGCCGATATGTGCATTCCAATGGCAACCATTGCAATCGTATTTCAACAAATCAGTATTGATTCCTGTCCAAGCTACCAAAAGCAGCCAGTGATATTTTCATCGAAATGCCACATCAAACTCATATTTGCATTTAATACAGATCTACATTACTGCTATTACCGCTGCCACCGCTGCTGCTGTTATTGGTCCTGATGCTGAAATTCACAGCCGACAAAATGCATATATTTGAATGATGCAAACACGCTCTCGATATAATTGTGAAAGCAATTACAGAAAAACCATCAAATGTTTTGCCAGCGTAGAGATATCATAAACGCTACATATATGCAATTTGAAATGGGTGTTCTTTTTTTATTTCTCTCTCGCTCATCCGACCAACCAACCATCTAGCTACAGCTACATGTCAAAATGTATTTATGACTATGGATTCGTATCACGATTTTATTATCGCGTTCGACTATTTAATGCACTATATATCATATGTATGAGTGCTGTCGTTTTTTAAAAAAATCATTTATTAGCTGGTTGTTTTTGATCTTGTGCATCATTTTGCTGCTGCAATTTTCAATCCCTTTTTTCAACGGATCTGTGTCGATCCTCCGACAGAATGGCCCATCGTTTGATACGTGCAAACAAATATATGCACGTTTTACTCTGCCATTGTGTTTATATGCATCAACATCAACAATGATTTACTGTCAAAGAGTTTGGCGCTTGAATCGACGATGATGGCAACCGAATCATATTCGGAAGAGAGGTGAAATTTATGTTGGGTAATGTGTTTTTGTCATAGCATTGTTCATCGGTTAACGGTGACAAACGTGAGCAAATGCACATGCACATACGCATGACATTTTTTCCTCTCTCTGCTCTATTGCACACGGATATGCATCAAGACAGAGCAGATGATTCGCTTGCAGGAGCCACCATTTGAGTGTTTATGAATTTTATTTGAAAATAGTAATGATTAATTGTTATTTATTTCCTTCAATCACAGAATTGTGGTGTCTAAGAGTGAATGGGACAGCCCCGAAAGAGTACCACATGTGAAGAGAAAAAAATGGCAGTTGCATGTAAATTTTAATGGATATATTTTTTGCGTGCGTCTCGATATATGCGTGTGTGTGTAAATATGGATTTATCTGTGTTTGAATTGTGTTGAGCATGCATTTTTTCCGATCGATAAATTTTGGTGTGTTCAAATGCAGTGCAATTGCAATCGGAGATATGGCATGAATGATGGCCGCTGATACCGATCTCACATTATGGTAACGCTAATGCATAAAAGCCACAAATCAAAAATGTTCGAATTTAATGGATTCATGATAAACTGCTGGGTTTTACTCATGACATTTAGCTCGTTAATTTGAACATTGCCACATGTAAGATTCACACAGATCGTAATACAGCGATGATATTTTTTTTGGCACGAATTTGTGGTTTCGATAACGAAAATGCATAAAAACTTTCAATGGATTCAATGTTATTTCTCATTACTATCCTCGTATCGCTACTGGCTCCGAATCATGGAATTTATTGCAGCCGAACAATTGTAATTTAGCCGTCTTAATGTGTCTCAATTCGTGTTCTTCATTCTCTCTAAGGACACTGCTACAATTTTTGCTGTCATCAGTGCTCAAGTGTTCAAGTACACACCGCAAAAATTGTATAATTGCACTCCGACATTGTTCTGTGATTTATTTCAGTCACGGACAATGACGCATTTTCATGCCGTGATTACGAGATATTAGCAAAACCAACAAAACTTCGTCGACTAAGAATTCATTTGTACACGTGCAAGCGGTTTGCTTCTTAAAAAAAAAATTAAACATTTGTTCAATAAATGTCCCACATCGCTAATGATAAGTGTTGCACCGAACTGAAACCATTTTGGGGTGTTGTGCCGAATTTGTGGTGTCAACGTTTCGCTATTTCTTTTTTTGTCAACTTCAAAACTAGTTTATGTCAAATGAAATGTTGGATCGTTATTTCTTAGAAGAAATGTGTTTGTTGTATACTTCCACATTTTCATGTTTTCTATCATTTCTTTCCCTTTTTTTCTTGAACAAATGGCCTTATCTATGTGTGCACTGGTGTGTATGATGCATCGTTACGTGATAACTGCAATTCTTCCGCAAAATTTCGACTACACCATAAATATATGTAGACGATAGAGAGCGTATGTTTAAACGAAGGTTTATTGCCTTCAATGGCACACAAATTCAGAGACATATCACACAAAGCAGAAAGCAAGAGAATGAAAACAGGAGTACTTCAAATATGCCTCAATACGAGTAGTACGGCGTGTGCACGATTTAAAACTTCTTTTTAATTTTATGTTCACTTTCTTTCCTCCTTACAGTATGTGTCCCTTTTTTCGTTTCAGGCTTGGATTTCTCACTTCGTCTTTTCTCAGTCGCATTTTCTTCTTCGCAATGAAATAAAAGCAACAGCAAAACAGCAACAACAACAACAAAAAGAATAGGTCCATAACCACTTGTAACGGCGCATCTGAATGTGAACAAACGGTGTGCATAAATCGAGAGCAGGACAGAGAGGTTTGCTTTATTTACAATTTTCATGAAAGAAATTTTATTGCCGCACATTAAAAATTTAGTGCTGTGTTAGTGTTTTATTACCTGCTGCTTTTAAGTATGTTTACACAGGCACATTTTCGGTGTTATATTTATGTTTGTTACGATTTTTTTGCTACGATCGTTTTCATACACTGCCATACCTCTCTCTCTCTTTCTTTCTCTTTTGTCTCATCAAGAAAATTTGGTCATAGTCGCTAGTTTTTCCTTTGTTTTGGAGACTCAGTATTTTTTTTTCTTTTTCTTTTAATTTGAATTTCGTCCAAGAAATTCTTTATTCAAATGCCGTGTCAACTGTGAGAGCTAGGAAGTAAACTTGCCGCTGAGAATTTATTGCGAATTCCTCATTTTTTGGGTTTCGTGTTGCAATTGTCGTTCACTCAGCTGGACGTAACTATTGTTCATCACGAATGCAGACTTTGCGACAAAAGACGAAATAAGATCGATGGCCGTTGCGAATTTCGTGTCAATTTTTATGCAAAACAAAGTCAAAATAGAAAGTTACTTTAGTTTGCGGGTGTTCTTTTTTTATTTTTCGCAATAAGCAACAACAACAAAAGACACGAACCGAGAAAATTGGCAATTGATTCAACTGCAAAATATATAAAGAAATGGGAGCAAAAACAGATATTTGGGTCGAATAACAACAATAGCCACATGTGTGTGAATGGAAAAAAAATATGGAATGCAAAAACGAAAACCACACGAGCAAATAAAATGTATACGATTCGCCGCAATGAATCAATCGTATGAAAAATTGAGACACTTTGTCACTGGTTTCTTAAAGAGAGAAGATGCTGTCGTATCGTCTTCATGTGGATTTATATTCCATTGAGTTTGTATCTTTGGAGTTTGGCTTTCGATTTGCAGTTTGTCGAATATAAATCACCCAAACAATTCGACGCATTTTCAGAGTGACCAAAGCGAAGTTGATCAAAATGTTTTCGGACGCCAAACGTGAGACATACGACAGTTGGTTTCATGCATATGAAATTTGCCCTCGGTGTCAAAGATGAACGAATTTCGATTTGGAACGTAATATCGATGGCGACATATTCATCGTTTCGAAGAATTCCATATATAATTCGTTTAGAACCATGCACATCCTTTGGTGTGCACACATTTGACATTTGCACAGCATTCAGCCCGTTTCATTGAACTGAAAATACACATACACATCGTTTTCGTTTGTTATGTTCTCATTCGTTTTTCATAAAATACAACTAAAATTCACGGCAAAAAAAGGAGAATTCCCTTTTGTCTTTTGACTGTTGTCATTTTTGTGCAATTTTTCGTATGCGCTAAATATTACTTTCACATAATATTTGAGCGAATGAGATTTATCCATATTTTTGCTCTGAAAACTGAACATTTTGCAACAAAGTTAAGATTTATGACTTGGCATTTACTGTATGCGACAGCAAACCATTGAATTTATTGTCGTTTCTTTTTCACATACAGACATACATACATACACATATACATATTATCTCTCTATTTCACTCCGGTTATTTATTTCGATCTTTTCACTCTTACCATTTCTCTAGCATTATCAAAATGCAATATTCTTCTCTAGTGCTGTTTCATATCCATTACAATTTCTTCTTTTTTTATTTCAAGTTTCTGTGTGCATCACCATTTTGACTTCCACATTGAGACGGAAAAAAATCACGTATTATTCATGAAGATTTTTTGGTAAAACGAACAAATACATAACATTGAAAGGTGCATCGCAAAGAGAAAGCAATACAAAAGGACGATGGAATAATTTCAAGTCTTAAGTCTCTTAAATAGAATGCTGTGATGAAGAATGACAAGCTATCTTTTGTTGACCATTCGTCACGCTTATTTTCATGTGTATGTTTGCGCCATAATGTATTTTAAGTTTCCCATTACGCAAAACTGGAGTTTTCTTGAATTTTTGTCAATTTTTTTTTAAATTACATTATATGCTCGCATACGTATGTGGTCTTTTTGCATATGGTTTTACTAAGAACATATCAACATTATTAGTGCAAAAATAAATTCGACCTCGTTTTTGGTACAAATTAGGTTCTTAGCTCTAGTTAAATATTCAAAATTTCGAAATGAAGACGCCCGAAAAAAGAATATAATTTTTATTTAAAGTGATCGATTCAAATGAGTATAATGCTTTCTTTGTTAAATTGAAAAAAAAAAGGATGGAATAATCGCGAAAAAAACACTTGTTGTGATTCAAAGAATCTCACACTTTGCGTCCTCTCATACAATTCAAACACGATGTTCACAGCAATGCAAACGATGCGAAAAATATAAAGAGCCAAATGCTCTGCTGTTTCAAAGGGTACACGGTGCTAAACAGACGTTCATGGTACTCTGCAAATGTATATGCGCACATATATTTTAAAAACGTGACTCTTTTCGGCCGCCTGATGGCAGCATATCTACTGTAAACAGATATTTTGTTTTATTCAGTACTATAACGTCATGCTACACGGTAAGTTTCATGTATCAAACGCATTTTCGTAAACAACAACAGAGTACTATGTTATATCTCTGAATGGATCGAAATCGTTTCGAAAATGACCAAAACCGATTTGGTTGACCTGTACAAACAAAAACGTTTTTGCCTTCTAGTTTCTCGTCAATTCGATACAAAATAAACTAAAACTAAGATATTCCAGGCAAAATCAAATTCCAAACCAAAATTTTCGTTGCACATCGAGAGAACAATGTGAGTTGGAAGAATGTTTAATTGGTGCGGTTTTACCGAGGTATTGCATTGATGATCCAGATTTTTGTGTATTCTGAGGACATAATTTTTCGTTTGGATAATGCGGCCGATGCAATGATTCGGTCGTAATATTCTCTACCCTTTTTGCATGCGATAAAGAGTTCAACGGATATTTATGGATATCGAATGGCCATTTATCCAACGCACAAACATGCAGTGCAATGTCTTAAATTCAAATCACTATATAACAAATTGATTTTGGATTTGTGGTTGCGAAAATTTATAACCGATCTGCTTTTAAGTGGATTGCAATTTGACTCAATGCCATATCAACAATGATCATTCGTACACAATGAACTCTACTGAATAACTAACAACAACTATCTTTCTTTCGGGGTGCTTTTTCGTCTTTTCCATTTGTTTCTCTCCTTTTTTTTTGTTCAAACCAATGCTGTATCGTATCATATAGTGCATCCAGTCATTGATTCAGGCGGTCATTACAATGTTTATTTATCTCGTACATATGGTAACGGATTTCATTTCAATATATGCAAACCAATTGGAGAGAACGAATGCTAGCCATTAAATTAAATTGTTACGCCGAAGCAGTGTATTGAAATTATACAATGTTGACAATCCAAAGTGTACTTATATGTATTCTTGGCCGGTGTGTATTTGGTAATACAGTGTGGATATATATATATGAACGTTTGAACATCACGAGACCATGAGACAACATGTGTTCCAAAAACCGAACCGTACATGTCACAATTTGGTCGATTTATTTTATCAGCTAACTAAAATAGAGAACTGTTAACCAGAAACAAAAAAACAAATGGATACACACATTTAGTTCGGCCAGAGAACGATGAGATGCTTCACAAACGTAAGAGTCTCAATATCGAAATTTACTTGTTTGTCGGTAGCATCTATATTTGTTGTTACACAAAACAATAACAAAGCGCCCAATTAGATAAATTTTAAATTGTCTTGAGTTTCAGTTCAGAGGAGGAGAACCGAAATAATGCCATTCGGACAAGCCAAAATTGATTGTGTACTTGTTTCAACCGAGATGGGTAGACCATTTTTTGTCGTTGGCTCATATCTCACCAAATGAATGCAAATAATTCAGTTGATTTGGCCAGGGACACATGTTTCGGTTAAATCGATTTATTGGCACATTTTGAGAAGTAATGAATTTGATGTTTCATTTACTCTCACATAGGTCAAAGTGCTTGTTGCTGCCTTCGAAATAGATATCGAAATTGGCGTAAATGAATCTGCCGCAATTAGATGTGATATTTAATGTTTGCTACTTGCGATTGTTGCCACATACGTGTGGTTTGATGAAGTTGGATTTATTTCGAATGTTATCGATAGAGAAACACGTCAATCCCATTCGAATGTGAAAATCAAATTGATTGCGTTTTATTTATTGCGCTAGTTTTCTTATATCAAGATTTATAATCACATTAAGGGTACTCCCCGAATTCAAAGACCATCAATACTCTTGCATTGACACACTTCGAGCGACGTTTTGATATGAACCACATCGACCATAAACATCCAACCATTCACATTATATTGCAAAAGTATTACTATTTGAACATAAAATCAGCATATCAAATTCAGTTGATGTGATATCGCATGTTGTCTGTCTCTGTATATCATGATTATTACCCAGAAGACGTGCAATCGCATTAATTTCCAACTGAAAATTTGCATAAGAATCATTTTTATGAGCGTTTAGTGTTCATCAAATTTTTTTTCAATGCTGCTGAGTTTGCCTTCAAATGATATCTTTTCACTATGTATCAGTCCGCTTTCTCTCAACTTCAGGCAATTTAGCGTTTAGATCAAAAAGATGAAAAAAATAGCGTACAATATTCGATGAAATACGACCCTTAGTTCGGCCATTTTATTATATATATATACAAAAGTTGTGAGTTTTGTTTTTTTTTCTTCTTACTTTCACTCGAACGAAATGGAATGAAAATCCAAATGAATGTGAAATGAAATGAATGTGATTCCTTTCTCTCTACTCTTGCTGTGTTAGTGTGAGTGTGTTGAAGTTGAAACAACCCCTAAAATAATATAATACTATATAGCTGATTATTATTAGGCACACAGCACATTTTTCAACCGAGCATTTATATCATTTATGCCATTGTACACTTTTCGATGTTTATTTTCAGTTGGTTTTTTTCCTCTCGCTTATTATATCATCGTATTTGTCGGCTCTCGTCATTCAGGATTCGTTCTTGTTGTTGTTGTTGTAATGTTTTTAAAAAATGTTCTCCGCCATATTCATAAATCAATGAATTTGATGTGCTCACCTATAAATCACTCTAAATGTCGTTTCGTTTGGTTTTGGCATTAGGAGAATTATGTTATGTGTATGCGTTTGTCTGTGTGAGCAAACGAGTCAGTGAGTGAATGACTGACTGAATGCGTATATATAGTGGTTGTTAGATACCCTCACAACATTATGTGATTCGTTTTCTACATATTTTTTTTTTTTCGACGAAATATTGTTAAGATGTGGCAGTTGTTTCAATTGCCACGGTTTCACTTTAGCCATCATTCACGTAAAAATCCTAATAAATGAGAACATGCGTATACCAAACGCGTATACACTTTTTTCCTGGTTGATTCGTCGATTTCAATACACATACACACGTATTTTTCAATCTAAAATCAAGAATAATTGTCGGTTGGATGGATTTAACGAACGTATGCGGTATTGAGCTAAACGAAAAATCAAAACGATTGACGTTCATTCAATTGCCGATATAAATTCTCATTTGGATCGATAGTGGCAATAAAATAGAATTAAAAAAAGGAATGTAATCAATGGCATAACATCGACCCGGAGCTTCATATTTCCATTGAAAAACTTAATGGGCTCCGGAAATATCCAAAAAGACATTTAAGTAGAATTTAAAAAAAACCGAAGCCTTTAGAAGAAGTGAAAGCAGAAGCGATGCTCGTCTAGTTGTCATTGCTTGCGTTTCTATCTGAATTGATTTTGATAATGTTCTAAATGAAGTTATTTGTTAATTTATTCTGATCTTGCTATTTGAAATTTTTTCATCAGTATGAATAAAATTGCCGCTTATCGCGCATAATTTTGTTTCGGTTTTGTTTTGTTTGCTTTCATGTTGATCAAATTCATAAGTATGTTTTATGATATCGTTTTCCTTTGGTGATATCACGTCCATTACAATGTTTATCCAAAACTCGAAAATGACGAACAACTTCAATGAATAAATGAAACGCTAGAAAGACATGTTAACAAAGACCAAAAAATGAAGACGATCTTATTATATGATACATCCATAGCTGTAACTCGTCTCCACATCAACTCATCGCATACACTCATCACGCTCGCATAAAATACAAGTATAATTTTATTACTGCCATTGTTCTTTTTCGCTTCAAAAAGAATTAAGCAAAAACGGCTGTTGTCGATCATAAATCAATCAAAAAATCTATCGCACATGTTCAAATAAATGAACGAAATGGAACGGAATAAACCTCGAGAGCAAAGAGTGTGGTACATCAAATTTGCGCCGACATTTTCGACATTAGAAACAAAGGGACATAGATGAGATGAATACAATGTAACATAAAAAAGTGCGTGCACAACAAAATTCATAACGAATCAAAGCGAATCGAAACGAGTATGTGTGTGTGTGTGTATGTGAAAGAAATATGTAACGAAAAATAAATATCGAGTCACAGTCACAATGGACGAATATGATATAATAAATAAGAACGGTCTACGCAACGTTCATGAATGTGTGTATGATTTACACACCCGATTTGCTGTTGGTTCATTGCCTTGTTGTTTCATTCTATCTACGGCTCATGTGTGTCGCGCACTTTCATATGGACTGAATGAATGAATATTCTCACATATCAGATGCAAAATATGATTTGTAGACGGCGTTTCGAACCGCGCGAGTTTTGTTGACGAAAGTTATAAAATTTTATTAGCAACACGTACTTTGCCCAACAAACATGACATAAGAAATATAAGAACATTGCTAAATATTGTATTTCTTTGGGTATATGTGTAGTCACAATGTGTAGTGTGCCGTTTAATTTATGTCTATCAAGGCCAAAGAAAACCAGACACATTTCACTCAAATGTCAGTTCTACAGAGTGTGTGACGCACTACAAAAATGAAAACAAAGCAACGACAGCCGAAATGGCGTTGTGATCACATACGGTACGAAAACATGAATGGTTTTTATATATAAAATGCGTTATTCGCATGAAATGAATGACAAATGATTTATGGCATTCCATTTCGATTTGTGTCCCTGTTTTTGCTCCATTTTTATACGTCTTTACTTGCCGATTTGCTTTCATCTAACTTTATTCGTTTACTACATTCGATTTTGCTATTAAATTATGTCATTGTTATTGTCATTGCATTTATTATGCCATTTGCTGTGTATTCGTATTTGTTCTTTGTAGTATTTACATAGTTTTATATGAATTTTTCTTTCTTTTATTTTTCAGATTATCATAATCTAGACAAAAGTGCATCTAATTTGAAGCTAACGGGAAAAATCACAAAAGGTAAGTTATTGAATATATTTAAAATAATATTCCCTCTGATGAAATAATAATTTTTTGGCAATTGTAATGAAAGGCATTCACACCAAATTAAACATCGTCAAAGGTATTATCCGTAAAATTAAAAGAAAACGAACTCGCTGGAGATTTTGGAATTCTGTGGTAAAACATTCGGTATTTTTGTAATACATTGATACATTGTAATTTATTCCCAATGCATGGATTATGAACGTTTCATATTGAAATTAGAAGAGGCGGACATTGATTTGTTAATATAAAACAACAGACTAAGGTACATCAAACGAAGCACACGTAATTTTACTCAATCAACTTGATTCTGCCTGAAGAATTTTGAAAATAACGTCATTGTCAAAGAGTGCACGTTGGAAGAGAAAAAGAGTGAGAAAATATTAATTTCTTTCCTTACATATGGATGTCATTCATATCATTCATGTTAAATGTTGGAAAACTTTGATGCTTTCACAACCAATTTGAACCAGCATAAATACTAATGCAAAGCATTCTAAACTGAAGCTTCGATAAGACGCTTGAATTTCAATGCATCGAGATTACAAAGTCGAGAAATAAAGCATAAAGCGAAATGAGAAGGGCCGAAGACGAGATATATAACATGAAAATCTAAATCTTATTATACAATATGTCTGTCAATCACGTCTGTAGTTCTAGGTAAACAACAGTCGAAAGATGAGAAAAGCCGGTTAAATGTCATATCGTGTACGCAACCAAATCCCATCCTTTCACTATCTTCAACCACAATCCATTAGCCAGCAGCAAAGTTCGAAATGTGCATGTGAATGCGTTTCACTAGTCCAAGCCCAAAAAGACAGCCAAAACAACGAATTAAGTGCAACATAATCTTCAGAGCGATTCGGACATCATACAAATTCAATCGGAATTCTCTTGCGTTTGCCCTTGCTCTCTCTCTCTCACATACACACACACTAACACACAAATAAATAAGTCTTCAGATGTAATTTTTGCAACATATCACATCTCAAAAACAGGCACATCCTCGCATAAACAGACGGATGGACAGACAGACAGCCTCGGTGTATGCACTGGGATTGATTCTCTCATCTAAATCAAAGTCAAACAAAATAGCCGTTGCAATAAGCGAACCGAATGTGAGACAACTTGGCATATTCGCCCAGAAATTAAACCATACGACTAAATCGGATCTGACTTTGATTTGCAAAGTGGAAATTTTCGTTGTCAGATATGGATTTGATTGACACATTGTCGGCGCGCCAGTTGTATTTTCACTCTACGCTGTTCTATTGCAATTAATTTTCGCAAAATCCGATGGTCTTATAAAGCGTGAAATATATTATGTTGCGGCGCTGATCTGTCTCACAATTCAAATATTCGTATTCGTAAAAAAAAGATGAGAATATAGCGAAAAGGGGCGATTAATCGCTGGAAACGCGTTACACTCATAAACTATTATTATTACCTGCCATCGTTGGCCATAATGAATGCAAACTTTTTTGATGTGAATATGATTTAATTTATTTTCAATCAAATTTCAGACAAACGCACTCATTCAAGCAGGTCTGCATTTTATGATTATATGCCTCTTATGAATTGTTTTATATGAAATACTTGTTTCCGTACAGCAGCTGTCACGTTGATATGAAACTTGATGGCCTGTTAATTTTATGACGAGTAAAAATTACTTTTTGCACCGAATTCACAGAGATCGCTGAGAAACAACAAAACAACTTAAAATTGACATCTACTCTTTGGATATGTGTGCTGCTCAGTTTCAGACAGACTTTAGCATGGGTTCAATGTAACCATAAAAAATTTAAACTATTTGCAACAATTTTCACGTCCAAGCTCATTCGTACAAATTGATTGCATCGTTTGGCCTTGGAAACGGTAAATCTCAACGGATTCATTTGAGTGAATTGTTCGGGACATAGAAACTCATGCATAATGCGGTGGCCACATTAGAATTTTCTAAATTATATTGAAATGTTGTTCATATATGTGCATGTGAGATTGTGAGGCTATTTATAACATTTAATTTTCACCTTTCAGTAGCCGTCAATTGGCAACCAAGCGTTTCAGAGATGTGTTGCATAGCTAAGGTGATAATGTCATGCTGATAGCATACATCAAGTGTCGGTTAAATAGGATGAGGGAGACGTTGGTAAAGCATACGATTCTACGTAAATTCAGATTTCAAAATACACATTGGCATGGCTGGGCCATCAATCGACCATGAACAGTGAACACTGAACATGCAACATGCACTATAATCAACATACACCAATAAAACCACTGTATGCCCGTACATCAAACAAGGAAACCCAACGTGCTCAATGTGCAACGCGGTGACGTATCACGTCACATAAATATACACCGTAAAGCGATTTTGAGCAATTTTCCGATTTGATTAGACGCTGTTGCATGAACGTCGCGCATTCTCGCCCAAATGCTTGAAATCGTTTATCATTTTGGTGTTGCTATCGACTGCTCATGCATTGGCAAGCACTTGACATAGTTGGATGTGTTACTATTACATTTAACTGTGTGCTTGATTTGAAGCCACGTATAAATGTGCATAGCCAAGTAGCTCACAACATAAAGCGATATGATGTGCATGAAAACACGCGAAAAATCCCCATTCATAACCAAATCTGCTGTAGCCAATTTCACTGGGCGAAAATGCACCACGAAGCTCAACCCTTTTGCACTATTCAAATCATTCGAACGAGCCGACATCGTTTGCTATGCATTTTCATTGCCCCAAAAATGTATTATACGGTTTGCATTGATTTGTTTGTTGCTTTTTGAAACCATAACTTTTGCTACTTTCCATCTACGGCATAGCATTTTTTTTTCCACAGCGTCTCACTTATAAAACGTTTTAAAACCCAATCTAAGTGAGTGTAAATTTTCCGCATAATACATAAATATGGTTGTGTCGTTGCTTGCAAGTTGCAACATTCTTCTTCTTACTCGAGCGCCCCATACTTGGTCGTCATTCGGCAAAAGCAAATAAGTATAAATTTTCGTTTCGCCAGCCATTTTTCTTTTCGGAAACATGCAAGCATTCGTTGGCTCGTTCATTGCACATAAGAAGAAAATATTGATGTGGGAAATGGGATATAATTCTTCCGCATGGTGCCCGTCTTCCAATCCTTTTGCACAGTATGATGAGCTTGGATTTGACGATGTTGATGACGATGATACGATTTATTCCTTCAATGTGCTTCTGAGTTTCGCTCTGTTCTCTATGGTTTTCTTTCTTTCGATTCTTTTGAGTGTCGAAAGCGATTCGCTGCAAATAGAGTTGCAATACAACGACGAAGACGACGATGACGACGACAACGACGAGCGACCAACAATAAATAAATGGCACATTTGCACACAAAATACTTGTAGCAAAATTTAATACATAGTCGTAAATTGCATGAATTCGTTACGGTAGATGTGGTCGTTTTTGCAATTCTTACATACTCATACATCGATTATATGTTCGTGCTTGAACAGTGAAACACTCAGACGAGATGAAGATGCGAACGGCAAATCACAACTCGTCTTTCAGTTTCTACCCATTCAACAAAATGCCATCACATCAAAATGTGTGCACGAAAGATAAAAGCGAATGTGCATCGTCATTTGGTTTCACTGTCGTTGGTTATATGTTACAAGTGTGCCCGTACACCCTCCAATTCTGTGCATTTCACATTCTCTCAAGATGTATGGCCATTAATACTTTTGGTCGGTTCCGTTTTTCGCTACCGCTTGCTTGAATTGCTGTCGACGTCTCTCTCGCAAACAACATTTTCTTCATCTTCATTTGGTTGAAACGAACATTTTTCCTTCCATTTTCATTCGATTTCATTGCATGAAATGAAAACAAAGTTGCGCGTCACCATTTGTGCTTTCAGAATGCAAACTATAACAACAACAACAACAAAAACAAATATAATTTATTTGAGGAACTACTCAACAAACTAAAAACAAAAAAAAAATGAACGAAAACAGAAATCGTAATGCACACATTTCGGTTCGAATGACGTTTCTTCGATTGAAGCAAAAATTCTGTACGCTGAACATGTGAATGGTTTATTTTTTCAAGTTGTTCTAAATTTGCTTTCTTGTGTTTTTTTCTGTTCGTTGCTTCATTTTTCGCTTAGCCCCATCTCAATTCCGTTGACTGCGCGAGACTTTAACCTACGCCCAATCTGGATGACTGCAGATTTTGCCACTTCCAGTCTGAATGTTTCCATGTACAGTATGTGTGTGTGTATGTATGCAATGTGCCATGCACTCAGCAACCAGCATTTTCAGCAATCGCGCGATGTCAATAAATTCTTTTTGAACTGTACGCGATAGCAGTTAATGTCACAATGTTTAAAATATATGGCAATATTTGGGGTTGATATGTATTTCTTCAGGTTGCACTATGTCTCGTTGCGATATGCATTTCGTTCCAATCGTCTTTGAAATTCATTGGTACACTGCAGTGGTTGCTGCAAGTGAGTGAAACAACGAGCCGAAGATTGAGGGAGAGAACATGAGAGTAAGAGGCAAAAATGCCATTTTCAGTTTGGATTGGCAATGCCATTTCTGTTTGTTGCCACTATAAATATATGAAAGTGTGTCTGTACAATTGTACATAGAGTTGAGTTGCTCCGCCATTACTGTAATCAAAGTAAAAGATAGTTTTCTGTATTTTTATCGCTACTGGCTGCTCAAGCGAGCAAACCAAACACTATTTCTTTAAAAGCGAAATTCTTCCAATGCAAAAAAGTTATATTGTATTGCCGACATTATTCTTCGTCGAGGTTTTTTTCACTACACTTTTTTTTTCCTCAATGCTGTCGCTTGACTCTCATCGATCTCAAGCCGCCAAACGGATGCTCTTCGAATGGTGGAGCACAATAAATTTCATATTCTCTTTATAACGACAATAAAAATTTATGTATGCAAACGCAAACAACCTATAGTCTTTTACATCGTTTTTG